TTATCTTCATTGATGATAAAAATGGAGGCGGTTTTGGGTTGTTAAGGTTTTCAATCTTATCTGAAATTCAGTTCAGTTCACTTAAGTCAAGATCCACTTAAGTCAAGATGCATTGATTATGTTCATATTCGCAATGATACACCTATTGACCCAGTTGGTAATTTGATCTATGTTCTTATCTTTTTTTACGTCTTGATACATTTATTGTGATCACTAACAAGGGTGTTGGCATTCTGGATTAAACTATAGCGATTATGTGAACAAAACGATGCCGAAAGGTTTCTACAGGTTCGAACTAGATGACACAGAGGACATGACCAAGGCTTGTGGACTCATTTTAAAAAAATACTTGCTTTCTTTCACAGGACATCTATGAAGACATCAGACCGGTTAACTCTGTACTGCCACAGCTGTATAATTTACCCAAAACCCATAAGGACACTATCCCATTATGCTCTACTCTATCTATGATGAACTTAGTGCACATATTTTTTTAATCATTTTACCCCAATACCACTAGGACGCAATAAGTTATAGAGTGTGCAAAATGAGAGAAAAGACTCCCTCTAGGCAGGATTAACGAAAGGACAAAACATGAACGGGATTCAAGAGAGAAGATGGCGATTGAGGTTGTGTTTAAATTTTTGAAGGTTGTATTTATCAGTGAAGCAAGTTGTTGTGGTGTCCTTCCTCCTATGAGTCTATTGTGGACTCTTCCACTTACTATAAAATTAGTAGGAAAGTAAGTCTCGCCGGAACAGTAGTATAGATTGTTCTACCGAGGCTGTGACAGTTCGCAGTTGCTGTCAAACTCTCTCTCAAAGGCAGAAAGTTCGACAGCAGCTGCGAACTGCCCCAGTCTCGGTAGACCAATCTATACTACTGTTCCACCGAGGCTTACTTTCCTACTAATTATATAGTAAGTGCAAGAGTCCACAATAGACTCATTAGAGGGAGGACATCTCAACACAAACGGAAGGGATTTCCAGATGTGATAAGTGCGAGAATAGAAACTGTTGGAGTAGAAGTAGCGGTTGCATTTAATTAGTTTAACAGTAAAAAGGTGGGACCTAAATGCCAATCAAGTAGTACACTTGAATTCATGTAGTCGGTGTTTATGGAAACAAAAAAAGCTCATCAGAACGGTTACCATGACAATATTTGTAGAAAACACAGAGAAAAGCCAGTCCACGTCGGTGAGAAAGGGACTGAAGTCGTGATGCCAAATCAGGATCGATTAAATTACAGATCATTCGTTGGATTTTGTCAAGAACCTCGAGATGAATAACAGGTGCACAAGACTATATATGGTAGCAATATTCAATGCCAATACCAAAATATTGCAACTTGACATCTATTCATTTCATAGTATAGAAGAGCTTTGGTAACTTTATGCAAAGTTGTCCCTTTGACTTTAAGAATAAAGTTATTTCTTCTTAGATATCAGTAATCTTTTTACGTGTGTTCCGTTAAGGGAAAATATTGAAATTTGCGCTGGTGTCTTGTGTAGCATAAATTGCACTCTCCCTCAAAATTTCAGAGGCTGTTTTCATTGAATTAACGGAACTTGCTGGCATGACCATGGAATATAGATTTGTCAGGATACTGTACAAAAAATAGACGGGATTTCTATGAATCATTTTATATTTGTGATGGACAAAATTTTTGTTGGTTTTATTTCAACACGATTTGGTTGCACGTATTAAATATAATTATGCTCTTACCGTTAAGTCGATGTCATTTTCGTGTATTTGACAGTGAGGAGTAATCTTAAGGCTTCCAGGAATTACGGAATGAATTGCATTCAGCTCAATGGTTTAGACATGAAAAGAAAAACTATTCAGTTTTTACATTTCTTGATCTGCTGATGAGACACGATTTTTCTGACTTTTGTTTACCGTAAACATACTTTTACTGGATTGTATACTTGTTAGGCCTCTTTTTATCCTAAAATCCTAACACAATTTGGTTAAGTATTTGATTCATTGAGCCCTAATTATCTGTTCTTAATCCAAATTAAATTTTCAAATAGAGTTTATTACGAAGATTCTAATAGAAAATGTCAACCCTCTGGATATTGCGCAGTCTAGCATTTTTGCTGAAATTGCTCAATTTAATAAACACAAGTATGCTCCAGAAAAGTGTCCAGTCTATTTGCGATTACTGTGAAATGGCGAAGTTAACAATAGATTTCTTTAGCAATGATTTGCTTAGTATTATGTTGACAATGCCCCACGGTCTTTTGAACAGGAGTAGAGGTTTATCCCTTGTTTCCTGTTCAGGGTTGTGTTTCCGGTTTCTTTGAATGTCTTCTCATTCTCCATCACTCAAAGTAGACCCTTTTGTGTTAGGGACATTACCTTATTGCTAGCAGTGAACTGATAAAAAAACTCTCAAAGAGTTCAGCTTTCAAACGTAGTATTTATTTTTCAAATCGCTGTCCACATATTTATGCTTTTGTCCTCAGTTGGCTGTGAGGAGCAACAACATTTTCGCCCATTTTCTCTTGTTTTTTATTGCTTTGTTTATTTGTCACCCTTGCTTTTCCTACGATATTTATATATATATATATATATATATATATATATATATATATATATATATATATATGTGACGTCGTCCCCGGTCGCAGCGTCGACTGTGTCGTTCGATCCCGGTCGCGGCGCCAATTGTGACGTCACGTGCTCCCCAGGCTCTGATATCCTGGTCACGGACAGCACCAACTGTGACGTCTTCTCCGCGGCGTCAGCTGTTCGCTCCTCGCTGCTCCAAACGTGACGTTCTAACCCTTTGGTTAGATTGATACCAGCCTCGCCGTTCCCAACCCGCTTCCAACACCTGGTTACCAGGGTAACTGCACTGATCTCCAGTCTGCCTACCCACGTTGTGAATTGATCTTAGACAGACGAGATCAAACAGGGGTTGGGGCCGTAATGCAAGTTGAGTCCAACGGGGTGATAACACACAATTATGTATAAAAGAAAAGAAAATAAAAACTCACAAGGTCCAACGTATCAAAGAAAAGGTAACAAACTTTTTATGTCTATTTGCTCGGTACATAGGACTATGTCTACTTCCCGACCCGTTCTGTGGATTGTGGCACGACGCTTTTACTAGGCAACTTTAAGGCTTCAAATTGTCTCCTCTCTAAGAAATTTGTGTTTCGGTGTGTCTTTGGACGAAAGTCGAAAAAAAAAACTTATTTCTGTGGTCTTGATTCTAAGTCGCTCTTCAAACGACTTGTTCTTGGTTGAAGAAGAGTCCAGAAGTGTGCGTGAATTTTGGTCAGCTATCTTGACGCGGTCTCAACACTGGACGCTCATCTCTGCTTGTCGTCCAAGGTTCAAAACTTCTCGCCAGGGTCCGCGGCTCAATCTGACTTCTTCTCTCCGACTTGGGTCGAACGAACTGAACTTCTTCTCTCCAGAGTCTGAATTACTGGTCACTCATCTCCGCCGTCGGTGCGCGAACTAACTTCTTCTCTTCGGGTTGGGTCGGTTCCACTCCGCTTGCCGTCCGCGGCTGAACTCTGATTTCTGTCGGTTGGGGTCTCGCTTTTATTGACGCAGTCAAAACTGGGGTGGGTCTGTCGGCGCCAGGGGTTTCTTCGATAATTCTAAATACGTATCCACCCTTCTTATTTCTGGTTAGGGAGTTTTCATTCTTTTCCATTTTCGGTAACTCACTCTCACTCCCACTCCCTTACTGTGCCTCTGAGGGGCGTGTACCTGCTTCCCCACTTCTTCGTATCGGCTTCTCACACTTACACTTCTGACAGGGGCGTCGACCGATTCTCCTCGTGCGTCACGTGACGGTTCTCGGCCAATGAGGTCCTGGTCGGGTATCTTTCCTCCTCCTTCGTGTGTCATGTGATCTTATTTAGCCAATGACGTCTTTAGTCGGATGTGGACAATCCGTGGCTTTGTTTTGGGAAAGAAACACCTTGCTTAAAATACAAAAATATTAATTTAAATCGCCCTTATCATGAGCGACTGAGATGACCCTCTCGGCTTTTTAACACGTGGTATTTGTCAAGCAGTTTATCGCTAATTGGATATGATCTAAGAAAGGAATTTCTCAGACTCGTTAGCGTTTCTGAAACGGAATAAAAATATTTCATTTTCCCTCCGCTCGAAGGTCTGATAATAAAAATCTTTATTATCTCAAAAAAAAATTTTCAGCGACAACACCTTGTGTGGGCTTTTCTAATTCTGAAGACTGTCTATGTTTTTTCGTATTAATGGTTTGTCTTCATATCCTTAGATACACTTCCCCACCCACTTAGACCTTTACTATCATTCCAATGACACACTTTCCCACTTGGGTGACAACCAATTGATAACAAACTTCCATTTTCGCGGATCCGGAAATCGGTCAGATGCTTGACCTGAATATTTTCGACACCTGTTACCTGTCAGCCGTGCGTGTATGTGCTCGCCTATGACCTGTTTTCGTATTATTTTTCTTTTTTTACTTCTTCGTTTCTCTTTCTTTTTTTTCAGATCGCTTGAATGTAAAGAAAGAATTATTCTTAAACCCAAAATATTTTTTTTCGGACTTAAATAATTATTAAATGGTTGATAAACCGTAAAAAACAAATCATATATCTATGAATGTTTCTCTCAGCTCGTCAGGTATGCATGGTGCCATATATATATATATATATATATATATATATATATATATATATATATTCTTAAAATCCTTATTTATAATCAACTTTTAATTGATTGATTTGTTTATTACAGCTTATCAACACTTTGCAGTTTATTTAAAGCTAGAAAATATTTTTTAGATTGTAAGAATTTTTGGGAGATAATAACGTTTAATGATACAAGTCTTACTAATTAGCCCATAGCTGGGGGAGAAGAGGTGGATTCATACCTTTCCCAAGGGTATTTGTGAGTAAGTGATTATAACGAACCCAAAGGGAATTGTATATCGACCCTCCGATTAACAAATCTGAGTCATTATTCAACACACGACCCGCAGATCCAGACGTACAGCACTTAATATTCCCAAGAGGTCACCTACCTAAGTACTGACCAGCCTCCACGTTGCTTAACATCGATGATCGAAAGAGAACCGGTGTTTCAACATAATGTGGCTGTAAGCCGTACATGATATATCAGTACAATCTACCCTCATAATCACTCGCGTGAAGGCTAATTTTCTCCGTCACATAATCTACATAATGAAAAATTCCTTGACATTATCCATTACATCACCCGTACATTCAAGCTTACAGCAACTAGTATTTCTAAGCGGTCACCCATCTAAGTGCTGATCAGGTTCGGCTTTGCTTATCTTCGGTGATCTCTTCAAATTGGAACTCGGATCTCCGATGTACAATTCCCAGCCATTATCCATTACACCACCCACACATCCAAGCTTACAGCACCTGGTATTTCAAGCGGTCACCCATCTAAAATAGATCAGGTTCAGCTTTGTTAACTTCGGTGATCTCTTCAAATGGAACCCGGCTCTCCTATGAACAATTCCGAGCCATTATTCATTACATCACCCACACACTCAAGCTTACAGCACCTGGTATTTCCAAGCCTTCACCCATCTAAGTGCTGATCAGGTTAAGCTTTGCTTAACTTCGGTGATCTCTTCAAATTGGAACCCGGCTCTCCTATGAACAATTCCCAGCCATTATTCATTACATCACCCACACACTCAAGCTTACAGCACCTGGTATTTCCAAGCCTTCACCCATCTAAGTGCTGATCAGGTTCAGCTTTGCTTAACTTCGGTGATCTCTTCAAATTGGAACTCGGCTCTCCGATGTACAATTCCCAGACATTATTCATTACATCACCCACACACTCAAGCTTACAGCACCTGGTATTTCCAAGCCTTCACCCATCTAAGTGCTGATCAGGTTCAGCTTTGCTTAACTTCGGTGATCTCTTCAAATTGGAACTCGGCTCTCCGATGTACAATTCCCAGACATTATCCATTACACCACCCACACATCCAAGCTTACAGCACCTGGTATTTCCAAGCGGTCACCCATCTAAGTGCTGATCAGGTTCGGCTTTGCTTAACTTCGGTGATCTCTTCAAATTGGAACTCGGATCTCCGATGTACAATTCCCAGCCATTATCCATTACACCACCCACACATCCAAGCTTACAGCACCTGGTATTGCCAAGCGGTCACCCATCTAGGTGTTGATCAGGTTCGGCTTTGCTTAACATCGGGGATCATGCGTGAACCGGTGTTTCAACATAATATGGCTGTAAGCCGTACATGGCATATCAGTACAATCTTCCCTCATAATCACTGGCGTGAAGGCTAATTTTCACCGTTACAAAATTTACATGAAAGTGTTTGTCGCAGAGTATCCATTTCAAGAACGCCTATTTCTTTATGCCCAGGAATACATTAATGAACTTCGAGTAGCCACCTTAGAAACGAACGTAAATCTGCCTTTACGTGACCTCAGGTAAACCAAACGATGAGTAAGAAGGGGGCCTGAAATGAAATTCAATTGGTTTGGAAGCTATCGTGACATTTAATGACGTCACTGAAGCCCGCGATGCAAACAATAATGGCTGACTAAATAAGCCCTTAATCATCTTCATTTTCAACTACTGCACACGACAAAGCAAGTTTTAGACTGTCCGTTTAAAGGAATATATTTATTTGTTTTGTTACTTTTTCTCGCGAAAAGAGTTTGAAAATCAGTGGTTCTTCCACTTATGAAATCTTGTACTGGTCTTTAAAAATAAAACCTGTAAGTGCTAAACCTTGAAATTGTGGAGAATGCATAAAAAATTCACGTGTCCTTACGATCTTATTGCTTTGCTGAGCTTCTCTTTGCATTGTCATACTGAAGAATAAAACCATTTTTCTGTTTACCAAAACAGTGTACACTGCACGTAATTCTTCGCTTACCTGATCAAGTTGCTGGCAATAAATATCTACAATGGTGGAACTCTTATGTTCAAGAAGCTCGTAATTAACGACATCTTTGAAATTTTTCTTGACACGCACAAAGCAATGACTTCTGTTGGTGGAATTTTATTTCTTTTTTGGGAAGGCAATAGTTTTTCATTTTAGGATGAGCCCGAAATGCGATTTTCAGGTCGGAGACGCTAAAATCAAGCAGGTGCGGAAGTTTAAATACCTGGGAAGTGTTTTGACAGAGGACGGCAAGTGCGACACCGAGAACTCTAGACTTATTGGGATGGCCAAAATGGCATTCCAAAAGCTGGGCAGAGTATTGCGAGACAGAAGGAGCTCCTTGGTAACAACGAAAAGAGTACTGAACTGTTAAATGATATATATCCTCCTTTACGGCAGAGAATGTTGGATGATTTCCTGAAAGATGAAGAAACTACAAGAAGACAGAATGAATGGTCATCAGTAAAAGGGTGAGCCCAAGATACGATTTGCAAGTCGGATACACTAAAATCAAACATGTGTGGAAGTTCAAGTAGCTGGGAAATGTTCTGACGGAGGACGGTAGGTGCGACGATGAGATCCAAAAACGGATTGGGATGGCCAAGGATGCATTCTAAAAGCTGGGCAGTGTACTGAGAAACAGGAGGATGACAAAGAAAAGAGAACTGATCTGCTACGTAACATCTATCCTCTTATACGGCAGCGAATGTTGGACGGTATTCACAAGGATGAATAATAGCTTTGAGGCGGCGGAGATGTTGTTCTACAGAAGGATGCTGAAGATAACATGGACCGAGCATGTGAGCAATGATGACGTCTGGAAGAGGATGCAAACAAGGAGGACGCTTATGCTTAACATCAGGAAGAGGCAGATGAAATTTCCGGGTCACGTGATGAGAAAGGAGGGCCTGGAGAATCTGATACTCACTGGACGAATACAGGGGAAAAGAGACGGGGAAAAAACATCGTATGACATACGTGGCGGGCTAAAGCAAGTGGATGACAGAACGTGGTCTGGGGGATGTGGCAGAGGGACGAAAACTATTGAGGGCTGCAAAGATGGGGGAAAGTGGAGAGCCATGATTGCCTACGTACTGAAAATACATGGCATATAAAAAGAAAAAGATAAACACTGTAATTTGTTTTCTTTTTTTTTTTTTTTGCTAAACCCATTTTTCGTCCCCTGTAAAAATGGTCGATTTGTCAGCGTAGGCAATCCCAACGTGCGCCACCGGTGGAAAGGGCCCGAAAAACCATACCCCGTTTAACGCGAGATTTTACTGTGAAATTGGGATGACAGAAAAATCCAGAAGCCGCCAAATTTTGTGCTAACAGGAAGTTACAAATGATCGTGATCGAATATTTGAGTGTATCTGCGTTCGCCATTTACATTAATCTGATTATTGCCCTCATCTTTGTCGCTATATTTATTACAACGTTTCGGCCGTTGTACGATCCGGCCTACTTCAGGTGGTTGGAATGTCGAACTTAACCCTTTATTTCGCTCACTGGGGTAGGCTGTTCTAGTTCCACGTGCCATTTCTAATCTCCTGCTTGATTCCCTCTCCAAGTTCTCCACCGCCTTAACAAGGTATTGAACTCACACTCCTTGGGTCCTGTCACTGGATCTAAATAACGACTTTATCCACTGTGCCATGTGACAAAGATGAGGGCAAGAGTCCGAATAATGTAAATAGTGTACATAATACCTCATCTCAGAAACATAGACAGATACTGAAGAAGGCCAGAGCGTACAACGGCCGAAATGTTGTGATAAATATGGCGACAAAGATGAGGACAATAGTCCGAATAATGTAAATAGTGTACATAATACTTCATCTCAGAAATATAGACAGATACTGTATTTGCGTTGTTCAGACTGTTGATCATGGTAGATTATACGCATTCTCACGGAGCCTGTAACTAATCTCTGCTCTGTATAAAACACAAGGGATTTGTGTGGGTGTTGAAGATAGACACATGTGCCCAAGCAGATGTCTGTGACAAGGATTGATTAGCCGTCGTAGCAGACGGATGTGCTCTAGAAACAAGTGTAGCCAGCCATCGTATTTTGACATTACACATTTCAGATATCGATATTTCAGTTACATTGTTTACATATCAACTTGGCCATGAGGATATAATAAATTTAAATCATGTTTATTTTCCTGTGCCGATGACAACAGAAGAGGCAAACGCCTCTGGCTTATTCAAAACCATTTTCAGTATTATATGGATATGTTTTAAAGCTCTAAACATCAAACGCCAGGAAGAAAAAAAGTTTTTTCTAGAGATTCAAAACCATAACATAATTATCTTTCTTGAAAAAGAAATAGCTAGAATATATCTACAGACATTTTCTTATTTTTTGCATGCAATGGAACAAAATATCCAAGCGAAACTTTGTATAAAAGCAATGACACATAGTTAATGAATTCTTCAAGTTAAAATTGTTTGTCGTCTTCAATATAATCATCCGCTTAAATAAATGACTGCAACCAATGCATACCTTATATATATATATATATATATATATATATATATATATATATATATATATATATATATATATATATATATATATATATATATATATATATTATATATATATGTATATTATATATATATATATATTATATTATATGTATTTATATATTATATTATATGTGTATATATATATATATATATATATATATATATTATATATATATATATATATTATATATATATATATATATATATTATATTATATATATATATATATTATATATATATATATATATATTATATATATATATATTATATATATATATATTATATATATATATTATATATATATTATATTATATATATATATATATTATATTATATATATATTATATATATTATATTATATATATATATATATATTATATATATATATATATATATATATATATATATATATATATATATATATATATATATATTATAATTATGATATGAAATGATATTCGCTACATAACAGTTCTCATGTTTCAAAAACGAGAGCAGAAAACGATATTCTTAAATTTTAGCTTGAGGATGAAACAGGGCTTGATACTTTAACTCAGTTTAATTTTAATAATTATACTGAGGTTTTTCGGCTCTCGTTTTTGAAGCACGAAAACTCTTATGTAGCGAAGGAATCCTATTTTTTTTAAAATAATTATAATT